CGAAGTCGTAGTATATATCGTCACAAATAGAACTGCCCGGTAAACCGTAGGCAGAGAGAGAGAAGAGGACAACAAACGAGGGGCTGTATATATATCACACTCCAGCGGGCACCAGACTTCGTACATGGCGGCAACTTAGGAGGGGGCTGCGGGAGGGTGGCAGTGCACGACATTCGGAGGGTGGCGGTGCAACAAGACTATACTCGGAATTGTGCTTCGCGCCTTTGTTAATTACTAGTTAGTCTGATTAGATCAACATTAAATCAAATCTGGGTATGTATATTGAAAAGGAGTCGATCCAGGTGCAGGTTCCCCTGCGGCGGCTACCTTGTTACAACTTCACCTCAGTCACTGATTCTACCATGATGGTCTCCATATGATCAACAGGGCGGCGGTGGCACCTACTGGCGTGCAGATTCCGCTTCCATCCGAGCTATTGGCATGGTAGTACCCGACGGACGGCCTGGATCATTCATTGCTCAACCTTGAGATTTACGGATCACGACAGATCCAGGCCGCTGGCCCAATAAAACATGACGGTCCGGATTTGAGATTTGTTACACTTATGCAACAATCCAGGCCTTCGTCTGCTACGGGACCACAAACACCCCGGGTTTGAGATTCTTCCATTAGCAGATTCTACACTGTGGGGTGCGAAATAATCAACGACTTCAAAACCTTGATTGGTTCTTCAACAACCAAGATACTCCCAGAGGAGAACCGGGCAGAGGGAAAGAACAAGAGGGGCAAGAAAAAGGGCGTAGCAAAAAGAAAAGTAAAGTTAAAACAAAAAGAACACTCTGAAACTGATTAATTCACAAACGCTCAGAAACAGAACAAAGTTTGAGAGCTAATCCACTTTGAGGGTTAAGCAAACCTTTAACCAGTGTTGCATACCCCGACGGTCGGCCGCCCTTGATTGGTCGGATGCCAACCAGCCACCAGGATGCCGACCAGCCAACCGGTGGCTGGTCGGCACCTACCAGTCAGGGGTCGTCGGCACCCCGCAAAAAAATAATAAGAATTTTTATTTGAGTGTCCAGTAACCCCTAATAACCCCACCAACACCCCCATACCCGCCCCCAAAACCCCCATACACCCCTCCAACACCCCCAAACCGCCCCCCAACACCCTCATATCCTCGCCTCCCTCCCACCCCCCATACGCCCCCCCATAACCCCCCATAACCCCCCCCTAACCCCCCCCCAACCCGCCCATACCCCCCTCAACGGAGTTGGGCTGTACTCAGCAAGCGCAGTACAGCCCCCAATTCAGGTTTTTAAAAAAATCAATGGATGGCTGTTTTCTAGCTGGTCGGCCCTGCTGGCCGGCTGCAAAACGGTTGGCGGTCGGGGTCGGCGGTCAGCAGGTATGCAAACCTGGAGTTAGCCAAATTTGAGAGTTAACCAATTTTGTGAGTTAACCAATTCTGTGAGTTAACCAAGTTTGAGAGTTAACCAAGTTTGAGAGTTAAACAAGTTTGAGAGTTAACCAAGTTTGACAGTTAACCAAGTTTGAGAGTTAACTCACAAGCGCTTAGAAACAGAACCGAGTTTGAGAGTTGACCAAGTTTGAGAGTTGACCAAGTTTGAGCTTCAACTATTAACTCACAATTTCACAAACGCTTATAGCTGCTGAACAGCATGGTCACAGTAACCACTGATGGGATACCCAACTGGGAGATACTCGTCAGGATCCCGCCTGCAAAAGCGACACATCCATGGCTTACAGTGGCAGAAACGGATCGGAATGTCACGCCATGAGAACTCATCGGACATAGAATGGCTATTACTTGCTAGCACTGCTAGGAACACAGGAGAAAGACAACCACAACCATACATACGCTGCAAGCCCAGCTCCTGTCCGCAATGAGAGGACAAGCTCAATCATCACACATCATGCAGAGCAGCAAAGGCTACAAAGTTCTGTAAACTGCTGGGGGACCAGGCTGGCAGGGTCATTTCTGCAGGTCACTGGTGCTCATCATCCCCCTCTGCCACTGGCAGGCTTGTACCGTCGTGGTTGACCACCCCGTTGCCAGTAGTAACCCCATTTGTTCCAGCAGACGCACCAGACCAGCGTAGCTTCCATTGGTGAGGGTGATCATTGCCACTTTCCACTAGCAGGGGGGGGGGTAGCATTATCACAGCTCCTGAACCATCACCTGTTTCCAATTGCAGGAGGGAGCTCACCATGTTTCTGATCACAGAGGATCGAGCCTCAATCCAAGCAGAGAGGGAGGCCAACTCGACAACAAGAGCAGGATCGAAACAGGGGGGGGGGGGGGGGGGGGGGAAGAGATAGAGAGATAGAGAGAGAGAGAGAGAGAGAGATGAAGAGAGAGAGAGAGAGAGTAACCATAGAAAAACAAGCAGTCGTATGTCCCAACATCATCCTCTCTCTCTCTCTCTCTCTCTCTCTCTGTGTGTGTGTGTGTGTGTGTGTGTGTGTGTGTGGCTGTATGTATGCGGTCACCTTATCAAGAAGAAACGAACAGAACGCATTAAAAAAACGGCCAAAGGGGAAGGATTATTCCTGTAGGTAGGTAGAAGTATTATGCTTATCTAACAACAAGCATTATCGAATGTGCAATGAACCATCCCTGAAAGATCCATACGCCCCTAAATCACATCAATTTCGATGACGCCTATATTTCCATCTCACAGAAACATCTCGACCGGTAGAATATTTCGAACAGTCAATTCCCCTAAAAGATCCATATTTGGTAAACCTTCCAATTTAAGATATCTGGTAAAGCACTCCACGCTCAGCAGCCATGATTATGAACTAATAATCAAAAGGTGACCCACATAAAGGCCACTCGTCAAACAGTCGACGTAAACAACTGGTCAACCATAAGCAGTAGGAGCATGGGAGAAGGGAGGATTTTTATTTTTATTTTTATTTTTGTTTTTATTTTCATTTTTTATTTTCTTTTTTTTTTTGTTGTGTGTGTGTGTGTGGGGGGGGGGAAGGAGAAATGGTCAGGGAGGCCATTTGCAGACTGCAGGGGGGAGAGGGACGGGTTTAGACTCTTTACAGAAAAAAGAAAAAGTAAGGCAGTCCAAGAAAAAAGAAGGAAGTCCCAAAAAAAATAAAAAATATTAAAAAAAAGGAAGTAAGGCAGTCCTTAGGAACATCCGTTCAAATTTGAACGATGCGCACAAGATTAGCATGGCCCTTGCAAAAAAAAAAAAAAAAAAAAAGGGGGGAGTACGGAAGGATAGAGGGTGTTCAAAGAAAAGAGAGAAAACAGAAAACAGAAAAAAAAAGGATTGAGGCCTGTCAAAG